TTCCTACAAGTGTTTATAATACATGTCTAATTCATATGTATTATAAACACTTGCACTAATTCACATGTATTATAAACACTTCTACTAATTCACATGTATTATAAACACTTCTACTAATTCATATGTATTATAAACACTTCTACTAATTCATATGTATTATAAACATTTGTACTAATTTATGTATATTTGACAAGTGATGAACAACTGACAATAAGGTTGTTATTTCCATCTGTTCCTCTTAATTCAGGTAGCTATAATAATAAACAAGTCAGCTGCTTTCCTTTGGAAGTAATTTTTTGTGCCCTTCTAGAAATATAATCAAACTACAATGACCTGCCAATTTTTAGAACCCTTCTCACACACAAATCTGTAGAACACTCATACTTATTTGCTTATGTAAAATACACTGATCATGTTGTTGATTATCTATGGTTAGTCTGCAGTGTAGGTGGAATGATTGTGGGGGCCCACCTAGCAACAGTCAGTATCAGTACCATTTCTTTGACACATGCTATCAGTCTAACAACTGTAACTAATAGCTGCCAACTGATTGAGGGAAAAGACAGTCATACAGACTTGTAAAAGATAAAGAGCATTGATATCTTCAACACTAGCAAGGATTTGACCATCTTCTGTATATAATATGAAATACATAAACAAGTTGACACGTGGCAGCTAGAAACCAGTTTGAAAATGGCTTATGCCAGATGTAAATGGGAAAATACAGTTCAGTGGTGCTTAGAAGGAAAGCTATGGATAATGAATGACTCAACATATATGATGTGGTCTGAAGGGTCACCTTTCACCCTTTCCTATATTGACAATATAAATAGGGAGAAAAAAACCTATGAGGCACTGGACCATGTTTATGGTGTTCTACTATGTGGAGAACATTGTCATGATAAGGGTTAGATTCTTATTCCTTTAGTAGGGTGAGTAATACCACAGGCTTGCGATGATTTTATTATTCTACATGTTTTACATGTTCTACCATAATTCCTGTATGTTGAATCCAAAAATGATATCCATTTTTCTTCATCATGTACAGATTTTTTACAAAATGTCATAATGCAATACATAAAAGAAAGACCAGAACACGTAGTTCTGAGACTAAAAGATTTAGATTTCACACAAAAAAATCAGGATGAATAAGGATGCATATTCATTTGACATCAATGTTCTTCCCTTTTCTTCAGTTTGTTTATATTTTTGTTAACAAACATAGTAATAAAAAAAAATGTTAATTATGGTAATGGATATAATAATTTCATCTAAGTGAGGTGTTTTTTCTTCCCGATTTGTAAAACATTCTTACGCGAGAAAAAAAATGAATATTATTTTCTAAATCTGCGTAGCTGAGTTATGAAAAATCCATTATTAAAACCAAAACAACTTTTATGAAGTTTAAATTTGCAGGCCTGTGTAATCAGAGCATATCTGAACATTGTAAACAAACATTTCCATCACAGAGTACTGCATAACCAACATTTCACCCGGATCAATAAGGATGCTTCCTATGCAACCTGACTGATTGATATTAATTTAAAGAACAAGATAATGACTTTAGCCATCATCCTTGGCCTGCACATTTATCATATCTAAAGCCGACTGATCTTCCTTTAAATAACCTTAAATCTGAATTCACCACCACAATTTCTTGCCAAGATCTTTGAATAAACAGTCCTAATAAATGAACTACAATGAAATCTTTATGAGATTGTATAATATAATTTAATACCATTATTTTCTATTTCATATTGAGTGCACTGTAGTTATTTTTTGAGCTTGAATAAATTTTTATGAAGAAACAAAATTTTCTTTAAATGAACAACTTGTATAGTTTGTGCTGATGCTGGTTAAAAATGACACAATCAGATACTGTACTGAAATGTAGCCAGTCACGTAGAACGTTCAACTGAGCAAAGGTATACATACTAAAAGGAATTTTATCAAGTTGTTTCAATGATTAAAATGTTCTACACAGCCCAAAATTTTAAGGTTGAAGAAAATGAGTTATCAAAAAAAAAAATGCTGGAGCAAAACCTGTTCATTAAAAAAGATTAAGAATACAATTAAATAATGAAGAATTGAAGAGAGAGATAATCCCTTCTAAAGCAGATTTTATGAAATACCTGCTAGTAGTTCATTGTGAATAAGATGAAATACAAAAGAACATCTTACCAGCTAAGGTTCGACATCCAATCCACCAAGTCATATACCACAGGTAAGGCATCCAAGCCATCTGCTTCTAGATTTAAAAATAAACAATTTAAGATGATCCTGTATCACACAATATAAACTGTCATATGCAGCAAGCATGGTTAAGCCATCTGCATCTACATTTAAAAATAAACAATTTAAGATGATCTTGGATTACACAATATAAGCTGTCATATGCAGCAAGCATGGTTAAGCCATCTGCTTCTAGATTTAAAAATAAACAATTTAAGATGATCCTGGATTACACAATATAAACTGTCATATGCAGCAAGCATGGTTAAGTCATCTGCTTCTAGATTTAAAAATAAACAATTTAAGACGATCTTGGATTATACAATATAAACTGTCATATGCAGCAAACATGGTTAAGCCATCTGCTTCTAGATTTAAAAATAAACAATTTAAGATGATCCTCGATTACACAATATAAACTGTCATATGCAGCAAGCATGGTTACAGATGTGATTTAAACTGCAGTGATAAACAGAAAGCCATACACTGAATAATTACACTCTCCTTAATTAATAAAGTTATATCACTCTAAAGAATAGGTCAGCGTGGCAGGTGTTGGGACATTTCTGTCTGTGATAAGAGGAACTCATTAGCTATTGGTGGACCCGGCTGGAAACCTATCACAATAACATCTATTAATCCATGGCAGGGGTCGAGACATTTCTGTTTGTGATAAGTGGAACTTATTAGCTACTGGTGGACCCGGCAGGAAACCAGTCACAATAACATCTATTAATCCATGGCAGGTGTCGAGACATTTCTGTCTGTGATAAGAGGAACTCATTAGCTATTGGTGGACCCGGTTGGAAACCTATCACAATAACATCTATTAATCCATGGCAGGTGTCAAGACATTTCTATTTGTGGTAAGAAGAACTCATTAGCTACTGGTGGACCCGGCTGGAAACCTATCACAATAACATCTATTAATCCATGGCAGGTGTCGAGACATTTCTATTTGTGGTAAAAAGAATTCATAAGCTACTGGTGGACCCGGCTGGAAACCCATCATAATGTCATCTATTAATCCATGGCAGGTGTTGAGACATTTCTATTTGTGGTAAGAGGAACTCATTAGCTATTGGTGGACCCGGCAGGAAACCTATCACAATGTCATCTATTAAGTCATGGCAGGTGTCAAGACATTTTTGTTTGTGATAAGAGGAACTCATTAGCTATTGGTGGACCCGGCAGGAAACCTATCACAATGTCATCTATTAAGTCATGGCAGGTGTCAAGACATTTCTGTTTGTGATAAGAGGAACTCATTAGCTATTGGTGGACCCGGCTGGAAACCCATATTAATGTCATCTATTAATTCAAAGAGAATGTTGTTAACTATCAATTCTTCATTGTACGATTCAACATGGTCTTCATCTGGAGTTCAGAAAAGCCATTTAGAGAAATGTTATTACATGAGATATACAAATATCAATGGTTTCATTTAGAAGTATATCTATAAAAAACTAACCATGAAGTGATTTTGGGATGGGAGTAATTGACTTTGTTCATGTGCAAGGTGAAAGAATCAGGGATAGTATATTCATTCGTGGTGAGTGGCTGTGATACAGATACAAGGAATCACTTTGAACATTTGTAAATATGCATGACTAAGACAGAAAGAACTGGTCAGAAGCGAGTACCTGCTTTGCAAATTTTAAGCAGACCATATACAATACCAAGGCGAGATCCTGTTGGATACAATGAAACAGCAACATTTTTAGATATAATATTTTTGTTTTTAGGTTCTCTCAGATACCTTTGGATTTTTTTCTTCACGTTGGATGGTAAGAGATATAAAGGGTCATTGTTTAAGATTCTAAGTTTAGTAGAGTCCTAAGAATAGCCTGCATTTTACTTTTTTTATTAAGGATAACAGCAACAGTGCCTTTGTTAGGGTGTGTAACATGGATATTTGTATTTAGTGAAAGTCCTATAAAGGCATATTGAACCTTTTAACCATTTCATATTTAAAAACACCCTCTTTGAACAAATTGATGGCATTGTGATGGGTTCCCTGCTGGGTCAATTGTTAGTTAATGTGCTCCTCTGTTACCATGAACAGAAATGGCCCGATAACTGCCGTGCTGACCTTTACAGAAAGTCATGGATGACACTTCTATTCTTAAAATCACCGTTCAAAATTTTTATTAATATCACTGTAGTTGACAGTTTTTTGTAGATTTACTGATTATGAAAAAAAAAAAGAAACCAACAGGCAGAAAATACATATGAATCCTCAAACAAATATATTAGCTGTCTTGAAATCATGGGAAATACACAGTTCTCATTTATTCACACAATAATTGTTTAAAGATTTTTACTGTTGTGTAAGTTATAGATTGATTAAAATAAATTTCTGCTTTCAATACAACAAAAACTGTACAAATTAACTGGGCACACCTTTACTGAATCTGTCAAGGCTCTCAAAGAACAATTACAGAAGAAAATTATATCTAATATTATGCTAGTAATGTTCACCCAAGTAACAAATGTAGATAATGTTGTTTTTAAAGCAAATAAAAACAATTTTAAAAAGAAAATAACAGTACTTTAATACTGAGATATTCAGGATTAACCAGATATACATTTTGTACACAGTAGTTACTCTGGTTAAAATTACTGCAAGCTTAATAAAGTACAGTGTTCTACTTTAAAATATTTAGTATTTATAATAGCTATGAATTATAAAATAGTCTAACTGTTTACTAAATAAACATGAAATAGTATAATGAATGCCACAACTATTTAATTATTAACTGCATTAATGAACATAAAGCAGCATACAAAATGACTAGAAATAATATTATAAATCAATACACTATAAAAATTAAACTAATAACAATTAAGTTACATTAATCACCATAATCCCAATAAAGCTTAAATTTTTTTAATTTTTAAATAACTCAGTTTTGTAGTTTTGATTTTCTTGTTTCAATAGTTTTTGCATCATTAAAATCTTCTATATTACCATATCTAGCTAGGTCACATATATATCGATCCCTACTTGTCTTTATAAAACTAAGTAATTTTTTAGAATACAAATCTGCTATTGAAGGAAAAAACTAGCAATCATTTGTTAGTGTCTTCAAAAATTAACATCGAGGCCTGATGCAATTGGTCTCTAAAGCAGTTAATAGAACTTAGTTTCCTGTTTTTCAAAAATAGTCTTTGAACTGCTCCAGAAAATGCTGGAGTAAAACTGACAGAAGAAATATGTATGTGATACAAGTATTCAACAACATAAGACTTACAGTGTCTAGTAAAGCTGTGGAATCTGTTTCATCCTGAGCTTCTTCTTCATCTGTGCTATACTCTTCCAGAATACCATCACTGAAATGAAGAATCCTTTTGGGCAACTTTTTCTCTCTCTCTTCCTTCTGAGTTGTGTTTAAAGGAACTTCCATAAAGCCAGGGTCTTTTGTTTTTTGCTCTTCATCTGTGGTCTGTTAGTTTCATTATGGCTCCATTAGTGATGCATGTGTGTGTGTGTACAGATAAATGCATATATCACTCAGTAAACAAAATGTACATGCTATGTAAGTCTATCATTATTGTTAAAATGTTTGAACAAAGATCATGAACTGAAAAGTCTTAGTTACTATCATCCCATAATACTCGTATAATCTTGTTTAAAACTTAAAACTTTACATTTGTAAAATACAAGTTCACAGCTTAGCACAAACAAGTCTTCAAACACAGAGGTCCTCTCAAGAATTTGCTGTTTTTTACTTTTACAAAATAATTCTAAAATGCTTCATATATATATATAATTTTTCCTTTAACAGTAGTCATTACACAATAAAGTTAAATATAATCTGATCATCAGTACATTATTAGATTTTACAAAATTTACAAGAAATTAGATATTAAAGGCTGTTCAATCTGCTAAAATGGTTAGAGGACACTTGACCAGACAGATAAGGTCAGAGATCAGGGATGTTACTAATAAGAATACTGATGTAATAAGTATGGAAGATTAACTTCAGATACACTGATTGGGATTCTATAGAGTCAAGTAGTAATTTAACTGATTAATAATTACAATCAATTACCTACGAGGAGTGATTATATCAATTAGTGTCACATTAGGATGGTTTGATGTGAGAAAGCAAAAGGTTATTATTATTGGAGTCCAGACAAACTTGACTCTTGTTGCTATTGAACTTTTTTGTTTTGGGCCATTGCTTTTTATTTACATTTACAAGAAATGTTTTGTGAAACTTTTGAAGCTGAGTACTGTATTTTCTTTTTAATATGTATTTTTATAAAAGTAACTAAAATATAAAAATTAGAAATTTATTAGCTTAATTAGACAAGACTTGACAAATCCTGGGCATCAGGTCGCCAAGGTGACTAAAAATTTCATCATGACAAATAGTATTTTCTCCCATTTTATTTGTGCATAGTGCTGTGCTAAATAGAACTCAAATATAGAACAGTTCTGGACTCTTGGAAGTCTGAAACTATTTTGGCATTCTTTAAGTCCTAAATCAAACTTTGTTTCTAGGATTTTAATGGCAGATTCAACACTTCATGTTTTTTCAGGAAGGAAGCACCATGGTTGCATAACATGTTACTAATTTTGTGTCATTTTGTTTTCCTTCTTTCTCTCAATTCAACCAATCAGTGGGCATGTTTAGACACAGGACCAAAGGCAGTTGGTTCATGCACCTTCTGTGATTGTTTATATCGTGTGATCCTTAGCATGCACTCATTGCAGTGAAAGTAAATAAATACACACTGGTGCCTCGAATATCCAAGCTGGTCCAGGGAAAGCAAAAAATCGTGGAAAACAGAAACAGTGGATAATTGAGGCAATAGCGTATCTCACTAGTTAGCCCATTGGTTAATCTAAATAAACTTTTTCAATAGATTTAAGTTCCTTATATTAAATTATAATCTTTTTACTGTCGTTTTAATCACATTATCATGAAAAATTATAAAAGTCGTCACAATCATGATCATAAAAGCCGAGTGTTGGTCTGTCATGCTCGATTTCTCGACATTTTATCAGTTACACGAGTCCAGTTCCACTTTTCCTCCTATAATACTTCCTCTTTTGATTGCCCATTCCCATTTTAGTTGCACTTAATTACTAACATAAGTGTGAATGGCTCCCAAATTTAGGCAATTTTTCAGCTATAGACAGAATTGCATTCACACCCTATCCACACCTGTGAAAAAGAAGTCAATAATTAGCACAAATACATTTTTGGGAATTATAATAATAAAGCCTTTGTTAAGACAAACTGAAGATACCAATTATCTGTAGGAAAAAGAACAATGCATAACTGGGTTACACCCCAACACAACCTGAATACATATCTGTGGTCAAAGGATGCCCACCATTCAGCAATAAACAGCGGACAAAAAGTGAAGTTGAGTGAAATCTTTAAGGAATCTTAATGTGAATTTTTTTATGTTTTTCTATACAATATTTTTAATCACTAACAAAATAAAGTTAACCAAGCTAGAAAAATTTTGTATTCCTGTCTTAACAGCTAAAAATAAAAGGCTAGGCTTGAACTTGAACCAGCTGAGTTATGATTTGAACTCATGCCAAATCTTGCATGCAAAAACCCCAGATATTATGCAACACCTGAACTTTTGCAACCAAAATTAATTTTTGGGTGACAATTTCTCCAAAACATGTAAATTATTGTCTAGAATTTTAATGGTACAATTATTTTGAGAAAATCTGGGGAAAAAAAAACGGCAGATAATTGAGGATCATGGACAATGGAGGTGCGGAAAATTGAGGCACTAGTGTAGACCCCATTTCTTGGTACAAACAGTAGTGAAGTTAGGTTAGACACACACATAATTCAATATGGTAACATAAGTAGCACATTCACCAAGTGATTTGCAACTTGTGAGGTGGGATTATTAGTTAGACACAGTTCAAAGAGCAATAAAAAATAAAATTAGATATAAACAGATGTTAGCCCTCACTTAGAATATTGTTTTATAAGAAAGGATATTGACTTAGAGATCTTCTATGATAATATTATTGGGATGGATTATGGCCTCTTCATGTTGTAACCTGAAAATAATAAGGCCAGAGAACACAATTTAATATTTGGGAACAAGATAAATTCCAGTTTAGCCAATTTTACTTTTCTAAGTCAAGCAAAATGGTGATTGGCTCATGGAACAAGTCGCTGTCAGTAGTTGTGGAGAACATCACTTTTAAATTTGATGATGGCTTGAATGGGTAATGAAGAAAACTTTATTATAAATGTTAAAACGTTTAGACAAGAATATGTCATTATCAGGTACAAGTAGCTTACATAAACACAGGAATATATCTACAGTATGACCAGAGATTGCTTGACATCTTAGTAAAGGTATCTTGGTACCCCAAGGTGTTGGATTAGGGTAGGGCTGTTTTGTTCAATTAACTTATTAAGATAGCTTCCTATATTTTGTGTTTGTTGCTGTCTGATTCTTTGTTTAAAATTAGTGTTTCATATAGATATATGTTGTTTTTTTTTAGTTGGGAACCATGGGAGGTTTCTTTTATTATGTTCAGTAAATCTGGTTTCCAATTTTCTACCAGTTTCTCTGATGTAGAATTATGGACAGTTATTACACATTATTTTATAAACAATGTTGGTATTGTGAAATTCTATATAATTTTTATTTATTAATAATTTTAGTTTAGGGCCATGTTTTTGAGTGAATCTGAAGTCAACAGGAATTTTATGTTATTAAGCAATCTCCGGTTATGTGATCTCTTTGTACCATACTGTATACATATATATCCCAGTGTCTATGTAAACTACTTGTACCCGATGATAACAATCTTGTCAAAACAATGTACGTTTATAATTGTTTTATTGATTACCCACTCAAGCCGTCTCCAAACTTTTACCACTTTTAAGTTATATTTTTAACTTTTAATGAGTTTATGAACGGAATCGATGTTTTCTTGAATAACTAAAGACAGGGATATATGTGTAAATTTCTGAAGAGTGGGTGTGAAAAGACAAGTTGGAAGGGCAAAATGGTCCCACATTGTTTGTGTGTTAAGTTCTAAAACTTAACTAGCGTTAGTCTTTAATGCTACTATGTTAAGCCTATGTTTTTAGTTTAATTTTTAACAAACCTTACACCTGTTTTTAGTTTTTCACTTTGTCAAACTCAAACTTTTCAAAGAGTAGTTGGGTGAAATTTTCATATTTATGTATTACAAGTTTTTATATATACATAAATACACTGAACCTACCTGATCATTACTTATCTGCAATAATGTTTCATTAGTTTTTTGTTTAAACTGAATATCATTTACAGATAACGTTATATCTGTTTTGTTCTGAACACTTTCCATCGCAGTCGCCATGTTTTCTTTTCACAAACATCTCCTTCTAACGTCGAAATACTTATAAAAATTATTATAATAAGTAGATAATTTCATGGAACGACAAATATCACAGGCCTACAAATTTAAACTTCATAAAAGTTATTTTGGTTTTAATAACGGATTTTCCATAATTCAGCTACGCAGATTTCGAAAATAATATTCACGTAAGGATTGTTTATAAATCGGGAAGGAAAACAACTCTTACTTAGATCAAATTTACCACAAATATAACAGAATATGTTTGAGTCATTTACACAATCTTTTGTTGCCATATCGACGAATAAATGATATTTGTTACATATCTGCTTGTTTGTTAATTTCTGGTATAAATTCTTTCCGATGAACTTCGGCGATACAAGTCCCTTCTTGATTAAAACTAGTTTATTCTTTCTCGATACAAATTTCAGTAATACACAGAATTTCCACAGTCACTTTAAACTTAACAACCTTTATAACACACGCTACAAATCACAGCGATTTACAATCTCGTTAACTTCACTCTATGCGACTGCAAAACACACTCAATTTACGGCTCAACGTCACTACTGTTCGGTTGACTCAATTATCTATCTCTTCAATCCCGCTGGTTTTTCTCGCCAGGCTTATATACTAAAAAGAGGGTGTCTCGAATGCACTCGGGCCTTCATAATCATTCGAGAAATTTCACGCACGCTACCAGCGCCAAACGCACCAGCAGCATCACGTGACTTTCGCTGTCGTAACATATTGAAAAGAAAAAAAATAATGTCAAAGTGCATACACAAATACATGCTATCCAGAAATGACACGTCATGCGGCCTGTTAACCATTTATATACTTGTTTGTTTGTAATTATGCACAAAGCTACACAATGGGCTATCCGTGCTCTGCCCACCACGGGTATCGAAACCCGGTTTCTAGCATTGTAAGTCCGCAGACATACCGCTGAGCCATTATATATACTAGCAGTGTGTTTCTCATGGGTTCTAGAACGATCGATAAGATTTTCACGTCGCGATTGGTCTAGTGAAATTTATAGCCAGTAGTTATGAACATTTTAAGAATAACAAAATGTGAACTGATTTCAATGAAAATGATTCACTTACGTAAAAGTATATATGACGTTTTGTGAAACATCTGTACGTAATGGAGAAAAATGGATATCATTTTCGGATTCAGCGTACAAGAATTACTGTAGAACATGTAAACATTTCAAGACAATAAAACCATCACAGGCCTGTGTAATCAACATTTGTTAATAAAATACGAACGAACATTCTTAGTCTGTAAGTTACACCAACTAAGAAATGGTAAGCTCAGATTAAAAATATTATGGATCAACATAATTTTGTATTTATCTAGCTCTGGATAAACAACTCATTCTTTGGTGGTTAAATTACGAAAAAATATTGTCAATTCAACTCAACGAGCTAAAAATAGAATTGGTCCTTTTGTTATTCATAAGCATAAAGCTACACAATGGGCTAGTTGTGCAGTACCCACTAGGGTTGTAAAACTGCTGTTTGTCGATCATAGGGATTTAGGTCTTGGAGACCTGGGAAGGTCAGCTGCTAATTATACCTCTTTCTCAGGGTCAGAACTCATCAATAATTAACAAGAATAAAACCAATCTACTACATTCACGAATATTTCTAGTGACTTCACAAACTGGCAAAAATTATAGCCATTCTCTTTCCAGAACCGCGTTTACATTTTACATTGCTATTTTCATCTTCATTCGACCTTAATCCTCTTGAGATTTTGGTCGGCCGCACGGGTATTTGTTATTGCGATATATTAAGATTAATGTACATTGTGTGCAAATTAGCAGCATGAATTAATCAAACCTCATTAAAATTATATTTATAACGAAAGAAAACATTCGAAAACAGTAGAATAGTGGCTGAGCAATAAATCTGAGGGCTCAGATTTCTAAAAACTGATATTCGATTCTCGTGGTGAGCACACTACAGATAGCCCATGTGTAGCTTTGCCCTTACAAACAGCTCAATGATAATTTCTGCTTCTAAAGTTCCTTGCAATTAACATTCTGTGTTTTAGAAGAGTATATATGTGTGAGAAAAAAACTTTATCAGTTGGACTCTTAACACAAAAGTTAGAACAATATGTTTAAATGTCAATGTTTCTATTTTTCTCCCTTCTTTAGGATAGTGGCGTATAAATACCTTTTTACGAGAAGAAGCAACTTTCAATGAACCTAAAACTGTCAGATATCACTTATACAAGAAGGGACTTGCTTTGAGTAACTATTGACACTATACAATATATAGTTTTAAAACACTGATGAGTGAAAAGTTAGAATCTCGTTGTTGTTTGGACCCTCCTAAAAATTCCTCTATTTATGGATGACCGTATCTTCTCTCCCGCTTACTCCACTACAAAAATGTAGGGGGAATTGCTCCTCCTGTTCCTGTGTCCATGTTTTACAGTCATAATCCTAACAAATACCATTCTTTTTATAAACGTTATGACGTTAATAGACGACATAGTCCAGCGGTTAAGAGAAAAATCGTTCAAGACATGATAAAGACCCCAAATTTGTTACAGATGTAGCATGTCATTTCATAAGAGGGTGAGTGCCATAAAAATTATTAAGTTTAGGAGTAAAACCCTTACGTCTTATCTGGATGGAATAGCCATCATTGGGAAAAATAATGAATAGAAGCTACAGACTTCCTCCCATAATATTTTAAAACTTAAGCTGCAAATAAACTGGCTGGTGGTTGGTAGTATTTGAGTAAAATTTTATTTCAAGTATATTATATGTTTATTGAGTTAATAAACATCTCTAAAAATAGACATCTTTAATTATAAGCAATTTTGAATCATATATTGAGAGATAATTGAACTGCAGTGAATATATTTTTATTCCATAGGAGTTAAGCCTTTTCAATATTTTAGTGAAGCAATTAAGCCTAGATTTCTCATTTCTGATAAAGCAGTTGACAGAGCAAGTTATATTTACTTTGAACTACTTGTTCACTTACTTCTCTCTTCCTCACAAATCAATATTTATTTATTTATAAATGTGAAATACATAACAATAAAATAAAAATCCTGTGTCTTTATACTTTTATTCTCATGGGGTCTGTCGGAGCTCTGCTCTTTACACATAAGCTCTTCATTCTCACTACTACCTCTAGTCCAGCTAGCACCCATCTTCTGAGAGAAGCAGTTTTTTTAGTCCCACGGCTCCTCCATCTCCGTTGACATATTTATTGGATGGCTCATGAGACTGTATATTAGTAGACTATCCAACTACGTTAAAGATGACATATTTATTGGATGACTCGTGAGACTGTACATTAGTAGACTATCCAACTACGTTAAAGATGACATATTTATTGGATGGCTCATGAGACTGTACATTAGTAGACTATCTAACTACGTTAAAGATGACATATTTATTGGATGGCTCATGAGACTGTACATTAGTAGACTACCAAACTACGTTAAAGATGACATATTTATTGGATTGCTCATGAGACTGTACATTAGTAAACTATCCAACTACGTTAACGATGACATATTTATTGGATGGCTCATGAGGCTGTACATTAGTAGACTATCCAACTACGTTAAGGATATTTGTTTGTATATTTGAAAGTCCCGCACTTGTAAGGAACTGGGTCAAAAGCAGTATGAGGACTTCATAACGAAAATGACTGAAAGCACATTACAAACACCATCTCAAAGAACAACCTGTCACTGCTTAATAGTCCTGCACAAAAGGTTTCTCTCCAGATCACACTACTAGACAAGTGCACTGAAGAAAGACTGTCACCTATTTTCATGACTGATTATTTCCTACCAGACAAGAGATGGAAACATAGAATAGTTCTTTACTTATGAAAACTAACCTGCGCCGCCCTCCCTGTACTCTCAAAGGAAACTTAACCTCAGTATTTTGAGTCGTCAGTTAGCGTGAAAATTCTTGATAGGGTAGTTATTATAAAAACAACCACTACTAGAATCTTTGAAGAATATTCTGGCATTAACTTCATATCCATTATAACTTGAGGTTATTAATAGTGTTACTTCTCTGGTCGTTTGTTAATTTCCCGTAAAAATTCCTTCCGAAGAAGTTCAGAGATACAAGTCCTTTCTTAAATAAAACTAGTTTATTCTTTATCAATACAACTTTGCAATACACTTAATTTCCACAGTCACTTTAACTTAAACGCACGCTATAATTCGCAACGATTCACGCACTTTACTTACGACTTGACTCGATTATTTTTCTCTATATCTCCCTGTTTGCAATTATTATCTCCGCTTTATTTGCCGGGCTTATATACAAAAATAGAGGGCGTCTAGAAAATACTGGGATATTCGTGATGTTCCCCGATCCTTCTAGAAATTCATGACTGTCGTAACAATAGGCTGGATCTTGTTTGTATAGAACGATTTACTAAAGTTCATTAAAAATAAAGAAACTCTCTATCCATACCAGACATAATATTAGTATTCTTTGAATTTAGTGTCTAATAAATAAAATTAATTTGTAGTTTCAGTCTACCTTTGGATTTTTAAGTTTGTTTGTTTGTTTGGGATTAAGCACAAAGCTACACAATGGGCTATCTGTGCTCTGCCCACCACGGGTATCGAAACCCGGTTTCTAGCCTTGTAAGTTCGCAGACATACCGCTGTGCCACTGGGGGGGGCGGATTTTTAAGTAATCCCTTCTATCAGTTACTGACAGTTCTACACAAACAAGTAAGGTTTTAAATCAAAATCCGATAGAGAAATAAAAGAGGTTTAACTGAATCACTACTTAAAACATTGCTTTCTCATATTACACGAACCTCGTCTCCGGTATTAACGATCTTCGTACTTTAACTCAAAGTATCTCTAAAAATTCTTATGAAAATTTGTTTTGAAATTTATTTCTTTATTATTGTATTTATTTATTATTTAACTAACAGTATTTTTATCTCTGTACTGGAAGTCTTACATAATATTTATTAATTTTATGTTCACATTTTTAAATTTGTTATTAATACTTCACTCTTCCAGTTCCTGTATTATCAAGCGTTTTTGTTGACAAATCTCCGAACTGAGTTGGACGTTAACTCTCACACATACACATATTCTTGTAAACCGTTCTTATTGCTAAACAACTCTTTACCCTAACGCTCTTACACAAACACATATTCTTGTAAACTGTTCTTATTGCTAAACAACTCTTTACCTTAACGCTCTTACACAAACACATATTCTTGTAAACCGTTCTTATTGCTAAACTACTCTTTACCCTAACGCTCTTACACAAACACATATTCTTGTAAACCGTTCTTATTGCTAAACTACTCTTTACCCTAACGCTCTTACACAAACACATATTCTTGTAAACCGTTCTTATTGCTAAATTACTCTTTACCCTAACGCTCTTACACAAACACATACTCTTGTAAACCGTTCTTAATGCTAAATTACTCTTTACCCTAACGCTCTTACACAAACACATATTATTGTAAACTGTTCTTATTGCTAAATTACTCTTTACACTAACCCTCTTACACAAACACATATTCTTGTAAACCTTTATTATTGCTAAACTATTCTTTTCTTTTTTTTCCATAACGCTCTTACACAATATTTGTTTGTAATTAAGCACAAAGCTACACACTGGGCTATCGAAACCCGGATTCTAGCGTTGTAAGTCCGCAGACATACCGCTGTGCCACTGGAGTGGCCGCTCTTACACAAACACATATTCTTGTAAGCCGTTCTTCTTGCTAAACTACTCTTTTCTTCTTTACCCTAACGCTTTTATACTTACATATATTCTTGCAAGCCGTTCTTATTTCTAAACTATCATTTTGTTATTTTCCCTAACGTTCTTACACGTACACAGACAATGCTATTTCACAATTTAGATTACACTCGTGGAAACACATGACATCTTACTTCCGGTAAAACGACCACGTATTTGATCAAAATGCTTAAAATGGTCATTTTGCCCTTTACCCAATGAAAAAAAAAAAAGAGTCCATTTTCCAAAAGCCCTCAGATTTACCTTTTTTTTTTTGGTCCTGTCTGCTTTTAAAGATCCGAAGGTCAGTTTTACACAGATAATTGCTAGGTGTAATGATAGCTCTTTAACCAGGAAGTAGTTGAGAGAAAAGTTCATATGTAACATTGGACCTGCATCATATAGACATATCCTTCCTAGTCCAAGGGTTATATTATACGTTCCATTTTGAAAACAAGGTGATTGACAAAGGAATTCAATCAACTGACCCTGATCTTCGCCAGCTATTTTCGCTTATTCCCTTGTCTTGTCGAAAGTATAAGCTATTTATAGGGCTCTTTAAATGTTTTCTCTCTACCATAACTAATTATATGGATTATTAATTTATTCTATTAATGTTTTCTCTCTACCATAACTAATTATATGGATTATTAATTTATTCTATTAAAGTTTTCTCTCTACCATAACTAATTATATGGATTATTAATTTATTCTATTAAAGTTTTCTCTCTACTATAACTAATTATATGGATTAATAATTTATTCTATTAATATAAATTTATATCTGTTAAGTGAAACTATTTGTTAAATGTTTTTAAAAGAACACAGCTCGATAAACTCGGCACGGTTTATTTTATTAAGTTTTAAAATAAGTTATATATTATATCAAATTATAACCGGTTTCTGTAATAATATAACATCATCTATTGTTAATGATATGTTAATTGCACAAAGTATTAGTTACAGTGTTAAATGCCTACAGCTGGCGAAGCAATGGAACCAGTAGGCTTAATATTAGACCGATGTACATGAACATTTTACTCAAGATGGGAAGCGAGTATGGGAGAGGCCTCCCCATATTTGGTCCGGATCCAATTCTGGATAATTTTGAAGCATTTTTTATAATGGGGAAACAGGGTATTTTCGCGGTTTTGGGTTAATAACTCTGTAAAATGTGATCGGATTTGTACCAAATTTCATGGGCACATTAAGGTTGAGACTCCTCATCACACTACAAAAAATAATCAGGATCGTTATAATTCTGGATCTGAGAAGGATTTTCTGAGTTTTCAAGGGTGAAATTTTACGTTTTCCAATATAAACGCATGCAATCTCGAAAAGGAGCGGCGGTGCGAGGATATGTAGTCTCTCTGATTGCTCTTGTTTATTAATGAAAAGCAAAGGTATCCGTCCCCAGTGACGGGAAAAGTTTATGTTAATCAATCAATTTAAATTATTTCATGGACTTTAAAAAGGTTAATTGTGTTGCACTCTTGGTTTCATTCAGAGCCAAAGCTCTGAGCTACTTATATTCTGCCCACCGTGAAAAGTAATTGTTGAACATTTCAGTCATGATAAGAGCAGCTCAACAATAACACACAGTAAATCTACATTTTTATTCTTTAAGTTACGTCAAATTTTGAAATATGAATGATAGTGTGATTAATTCCTAACAATTTAGTGTAGACTATCCTGCTTGTGAAATAAAATTTTGCATTAACATTATTCATGCCTGTTCTCCCGTTATTTCAAAAGTGGGGACCGGCACTTTTGCTTGTAATTGAATAAAAATTAATTGTAAACATCATTGAGATACGCTGAAGCTACGTACGCCTACTACAAATTTCACAGTATTTCAAAACTCCCTCTTCTTGAAATGTTTAAATCGACGTCTTTAGATATTGTAGTGTGTTATGTTTCAAAATTTTTAATTTAGAACTTTGTATTACTGTTTGTCTTGTAGGAGTTTCTGACGCCACGAGATGGGCGTGGTTTAATGATTAGAACATTCTTGAAAGTTTAGGAAAAATTTGTGCTGCACAAAATTCGAGCAATACTATAGTTTTTAATGAGTTTCGTTAGTCAGTTTGTTTGCTAAAAGTTAGAGTTTAACAAAGAAACCTGCAGAAGCATCGGGAACTAAGAGGCTCATATTTGTGATTAAAGTCATATAAACACCTCTGATTTTGAATCCGAAAAGGACAATTTAAGAATAATGTGGGAAAACAAACAAAAACATCTGCAGTTTGTCTATAATTCAGTTTTATGAATTCTGAATTTGTGTTTGCGATAAAGTACAAGAGATACAAACAAGTGTCATATGTATAAGAGAAGTAAACAAGTTTTTGTTTGTTTGTTTGTTGTTGATCACTAGCTACACAATAAAATTGTTGTATTAACCTCCACTGTGAAGTTAAGCCTATTAGTGAGAATTAATAAAGAATTTGTAGAATTTATAGTCGACGAAATATAATACATTTGTTAGCATTAAGTTAAATAATCTTCGCATTATTTTCTTACTGAATAATCCAATAGTACAAACCGTTCCAACAATATACGTACTGGAATGTGAAGCTCAAATCCTGGACCTTAAAATATTTCAATGGCTAAAGTGAAATTTCCCAAGTCCTGGAATATTTATACACACTTATATAATATGTCACCACATATTTATCATTTCTGGTATTTAAAATTGAGAGAATTATTTTAAATACATTCACAAGTTTAGATTCTATTGAAACAAATGTTAATCTGAAAAATATAAGTAAAACACTGCAATAAAAAAAGAAGAAAAACACTGATACCAAAACATACACAACTTTGTTTTAAACCCCAATATCATGGTACACACATATTTTATGGCACTATATATATATTTTTTTCCATCCGATGATTTCAAAAACTCACATAAAATTTTATTTTTTCGGATTTAAATATTTTTAATGTCAAGTTCAAATATATAAATAATTTTCATGGTCAAGTGTGCCAAAAATAAAGCCGATTTTAGCTATTTTTACTTCTTTGGATGACCTTTGGCCGTAGCGTAACACAAAGTAATCACGGTAATGTTTGGAACCTCTGTATAAAACCCAGCAATGAGTCATAATGCGAATACGACCACATTTAGAAAAAAAAACAACAGTAAAGACGTTTCTTACCATTGGATGGGCCTTCCAAGTGGGTTGTATGGCTGACCTGTTATTGTTGGCAACCTAGACATACCTGTTTGTTTCCCCTGAGGCTATATACTTTGTGTGTGTGTGTGAGGGGGTGAACTAGGGCACCGTGTCCTGTATGTTTGACGTAGGTTAGTTCACACATCACAAGCTAGTAGAACGCCGCGTTCAAGTCGTTTAACGTATTCATGTGAGCCGGATACTGAAAACTTGTGTTCCCTGCAATCGTAGGAGTTATTTGTTGGTAAGTTGTATTTTTTCCTTGTTGCGTAGCCTAAAACTAAGTATTAATATAAAACTTTTAAAAACCTGTAACCCTAGCGGGTATTTATTGTTTTACACTGTCAAATAAAATATAGAAAAGTTTGAAACATGCAAAATGGGCATAAATTTACTGCTATGCTAACAATGTGTTATAATTCAAATTACTTATAAAAACAGAATTGTGGGTTGTTATTGTCAAATTTAAATCGAAAATAGTTGTTCTTTTGTTAATGATTAACTAATATTTATTCTGACAAAAAATGGTATAAATATCATGGGCGATATTTTGTGTATTTTAACTTAAGTTAGTTACTTAGACTTGGAAGTTAGAGTATCATTGGTCTAGGTTCTCTTCGCCAGTATTTATATATTATTAGTATCATTTTTAGTAGTAAGGCATTGACTCCCCCCTCATCTTGACCATGAATTGAATGTAAAGTAACTTGTTTATCTACCTTGCAATATTTGTGAAAACATTATTTGTTTATGGGTCGATGTTTGATCGTGGACAGCGAATGGTGGTCAGTTTATTTATTTGTTATTACTAATACAATATAATGTAATTTATATTTTTATATATTACCTACTACATAATCCTAATGAAAAGGTGGAACACTTAACGCGTAAGAATTAACGTTTGCATAGCCTAAGTATTAATTCGCCAAAATTTGTATTCTATATAACTTTCATTTGCTGATTTAATTTGGACCACTAGTTAAGTATAGTCTGTCGCCGAAGGACAGTAACATTAACAGTATTCTGAATATAGTCATATTTTCAAAATTAAAAGTAATGTGTGTGATAAAATTGAACTTACAATCTGCTGAAAATTTATTAGTTAGTCTAAGGGATAATGTCGTAAGGTTGCTTAAATGATTTATACTCAACTGAATATTAAGCTTAAGATAAATGGTGTCAAATTTCCTTGAGGTTTTAATAAAGGTAGTGTCTGAAGATACGGTATTGTATCCCAACTTTGTTTACTAAAGAATCTTTATGCATTTTACATCATCTCACAAGACGAGACATTACAATATTTTTGTGTGCATTCCTGGAGGGAAGAGTTTCTTGGAAAACTAAATATTCGAATCATATCTGCAGAATATAGGGATAAATCATTACATGCGAAGATACAAGTAATTTATTTAAGAAAATGAACACTAATAATAAAGAAGAACATAACCATCACGTGAAATTTCATTTTAACATTGTTAAGTAACTTCAATTTCCAAACCATTATTTTTGAACCACAAAACATAGTCGAAAACGTTTTTTTATGAATATTTTTGTGATTGTGAAACTACAAAAAAGTGTAGTTTACCGAGTTCAGGTTAGTTTCTGACAAATAACTTCTTTTTATATACAT